GAAACTGTATGTACCTTTTGAATATATAATGCAAGTACAAAATTTATAAAGACACAAAAGGTTATATAGTTAACAGTCTCCCTGCCACCCTATATTCCCAGTCTCTTAGAGCCTCTACAGAGCCTTCTTATCTCCAAATACAGCCTGCTAGAGATGCTCTGTGCTTACATAAGCATATGTGTGTGTGTATGTATTCCTTCTATATAAATGACAGTATACTCTATCTATTGTTTTGTACCTTACTTTATTCACTTATGAATTTGATATTCCTACATATTAATTCAATTCATATAAAGCCCTCCTTTAAAAAAATAGCTATATAGCCTCCTTACTATTCCATTGTACAGATGTATCATTTATTTAACCACTTTGTGACTGAGGGACATTTAGGTAGATTCCAATCACTTCTGCACTGACCTGCAAAGAAGATTCTCATGTACTATAAGCACCTAATGACCAGACAGTGGGTAAGCTATTTTTAGGTGCTAACATAATTTTAGTTCATCTTATCCAAACAGAATAGTAGTTTCACAGTGTCCATGAAGAAGGAACAACACAATTCTTAAGCTATTTTATTTATTTTTAAAGATTATATTTATTTATTTGACACAGAGAGAGAGTGCGCACAAGCAGGTGGAGTGGCAGGCAGGAGCCTGACATGAGGCTCGATCCCAGAACCCTGGGATCATCACCTGAGCCGAAGACAGAGGCCCAACCAACTGAGCCACCCAGGCACCCCTCAAAGGTTATTTTAAAGTCAACAAAGCTGCTTTCACCTAGAAAGAATTCTATCATATTACGTCTTACAATAAAAGTAAAAATGCAAAGACTAACTTCTAAATATTAAATTTTAATTGCTAATATTGATTACTGTTGATGCTATGAAAACTACCAATTGACAATTACAAAGTATCCTCTTCTCTTCAGCTAACTTTAAATTCTGTCCTACAGAACCCCTATGGATTTGGTTTTCAAATAAAAAATAGAAAGTCCTTTAAAAAGGGGATAATCATTAGCAATATAACTTCACTGAAAAACAAATGCATATAATTAGGGGAACTTATTCTTTTTAATTTATTTTTAAGTAAACTGTACACCCAATATGGGGCTCAAACTCACAACCCCAGATCAAGAGTCACATGCTCCACCAACTGAGCCAGCCCAGGCACTCCTAGAGGAACTTATTCTTAAAAGGAGGTACTATCTCCTTAAAGAAAGCAACTCCTTATCAACAGCTGGATGAATGCTCTTAGTCCTTTCCCATTTTCCTGTTTCAATGCCCAAGTTCCACCTTCCTCCAATTTCCTGATCATGGTTTAGCCTAACTCTGGTTCCAAGACAAACTGAAATAAAAAATAAGATCAAAAACATAAACAAAACTGTAATTTTTTAATAAAAAATAAAGCTTCTTCTGAAGCTTCAGAAGAACATTGTATCACCCCAGAGCTAAAAACTGGATTCTTTTTTTTTTTTATAATAGGTGCTCTTATTTATTTATTTATTTGAGACAGAGAGAATGAGAGAGAGAGAGAGAGAGAGCACATGAGAGGGGGGAGGGTCAGAGGGAGAAGTAGACTCTCTGCTGAGCAGGGAGCCTGATGCGGGACTCGATCCAGGGACTCCTGGATCATGACCCGAGCCGAAGGCAGTCGCCTAACCAACTGAGCCACCCAGGCGCCCAAAACTGGATTCTGATAGCCGTATTCTGCAGATCACCTGCAGGGGCCTGAGAGCTGCACCTTAGTCGCCTTCTACTTTCTGGTCAGTTCATTTTCCTGGTATCCTAGTCCCTGTCTGGGATTGGAGCCCAGCCCTGAAATCCCAGTGTGAGATGGGAATTTAGCCTCACCAACTGTGATGAGATTATATGTCAAGGCACTGTTCTATGTGCCAAATCCAAGAGACAAAAAAATCCCTTCTCTTATGGAGGCTGATGGCCTGACACAGTTGGGGCTAGTTTTTGTCCTCCAAATTCTTCACTGTTCTGCCCTATATATTTTTGAACATCTTGACAATCTCTTTGGTGTTCCCCCCATGGCAGTCAACTGCTGCAATGTGACCAGGTTTATGAAAGCCCTAGGTACAGTTCCTTATCTACCTAGCCAAATCTTTGCTATCAGCCTAAGCTGCTCTATTAAGCACACCAAGTGCGAAGTTTTTGTTACTTGCCATCTGATTTGCTTTGCTGTGTGTGAGTCACGGGAGAAGTGGAGTCTTTGGAAAGACTGCTTAGAGCTGAATTTGAAGTGTTGCCTCAAGTATGATTTATCTTAAGACTGTCCAATATGGTAGCCACATGTGGCCATTGAGCACCTGAAATGTGGCTGATTGGAAATGGTATGTGCTTCAAGTGTAAAATACAGACTAGATTTCAAAAATCAGTACAAAAAGAAAGGAGAAAGGAAGGAAGGAAGGAAGGAAGGAAGGAAGGAAGGAAGGAGGGTGCCTGGGTGGCTCAGTCAGTTAAGTGTCTGACTCTTGATCTCAGCTCAGGTCTTGATCTCAGGGTTGAGTTTAAGCCCCACGCTGGGCTCCACAGTAGGTGTGGAGCCTACTTAAAAAAAAGAGAGAGAGAAAGAGGTCTCTGTAATTTTTAAAAGTACTGATTAAATGTTGAAGTGTTAATACATATTTGCTAAATATATTAAAATTAATTTTAGTTATCTCTTACTTTTTAAAATGTGACTACTAGATAATTTTAAATTATGTGTCATTTAAATAATATTTCCAGTGAATTGTGCTGCTTTAGAACATTTAGCTAATGGCAGCAACAAAAGAGTCATTATTTTGAGAGATTTGCTTACATAGCTAGCTATCATTAGAAGAATACCTAAAAATGAAAGTTCTTTGCAGAAAAACTGCTAGCTAATAAATGCTGAAGGAATGCTAAATAAGATCATGATTATTTTGCAATCCCTAATGGAATAACTCATTTAGGTAAGCATCAGTTGATGCTAAGACTACTGACAAAAGGTTGCTGTAGAAAAGGATATCCATCCAGTGGCAAAATGATGTCCTATAGATTATTTACAAACTGCAAAGACAAGATCTGGTGGTCATTACTTTAACAAATGATCAAACTTAGCATATGATAGTGCTACAACCTGACATTACATGCCTCTTGATACATGAGGTAAATGTTACCGACAAAGCATTTTGTCCCAATGTTTTATTGTGAATTTTCAAACACACATACAGCAACAATGAAAGAATTTTATGATGAAAATCTATACTCAAATCATCTAATATTTTACTCACTTTATCACATTATCTACCCATCTCCTTATCCATTTTATTTTGTTGCATTTCAAAGTACATTGTAGACATTACTACATGCCCTTTCTAAATAATCTATGAAGTGTTCTTGCCAAAAATGTTTAACCTGAATCTAATCAAGTCTCTAAGCCTAACTTCTAGTTTACAGAAAATACAGGGGCTATAGAGGAATAAGTTAATTCACACTAAGAGGAAACAGAAAAATCCAGAATATGGGCCATTCTGTAACATTAGATGGTTTAAGAAGTGTATGTTATAAAAAAAAAAGTTTGAATGACTAGATTTAAGAGTCTAAAGAGACATATAACAAATTCCAATTTGTCCACCTAAATCATAAATCACTATTTTTTTCAGATACTGTTTAATAAAAAACCCATTCTTGTAACAATTAGAGAAATATGAATATAAACTAGAGGTTAGATGATATGGAATTATTATTAGTTTTCTTAGATGTGGTAACAGACTGTGGTTATGCAGGCGATTACGAAGAGAAAGAGATGTACTTACATGCATATACATACATACATAGTTTTTTAAATTTATTCATTTATTTTCTAGGGATAAGGCAAATATAGCAAAATGTTAACAATTATTGTATCTAAGAAGAGAGTAAACAGGTGTTCACTGTGCTGGTCTTTCAACTCTTCTGTACATCTGAAATATTTCAAAATAGAAACTGGGGGGCAGGATAGATTAAAAAAACCTCATTGTAGAGAGGCTGATATGGTCTGTTCTGTTTTGTTCTGCCTGGGGCTTTCAGATCAGGAATGTGATCTTTAAAAAAAAAAAAAAATCTTACCACACACACACATACACACAAATATGTTTCTCTAAATTATTTCCACCTCAGAGTCAATGCTATTATGCTTCAATATGCAATATTCCAACTGATGATTTAATCTATAATAAGCAAACGCTTTAATGCTGTAGTATTACAGAAGACAGTTCTCCAATCATAAGGCCAAACTTGAGATCAGGCTCATCGCCACCAGTCTGTGTAATGTATAGATGAAAAACAGGTTGCCACACAACTTCAGACTTTATATACCACTTGTTAAAAGTATCCTACCATAGATCTTGCCTATTTCTGGCAACTTCAGACATAAAAGTTTTGGTGATCTTTTTCCTTCAGATTTCATTCTACTTTCCAACCTATTGCTGCTTCCAAAGTTATCAGGGCAGCTTCACCCTAAAGTCCAAAGACATGCTCATCACCCAGGTAATTAGAAATAGAAAATCATTAGCAGAGATCACCAGACATGGTACAGCAATAACTAAATAAAAGTATGAAATTTACATTACTAACTAAAATAACATTTACAAAAATAAAAAACCAGATATGTAATCTTAGGTGTGTACCTACAGTCGAAAAAAAGAAAACAGCCATTGACAATTATGACCTGTCTTTCAAAGTATCGTTAGAAATAGCATATAACCTGGAAACAAAGAGGTGCCTTGGAGGAAGGAGTGAAAATGACTAATAGTATTAGATACTAAACTAAAAAATAGTATAATCAGGGCTCAGGTTTTACAGTTAATGCTCTTTGGGCGAGATTGGGCACATTCAGGGTGGTATGGCCATTGACAAGAGTGCTCTTTGGGAAAAAGGAACAACAGTAAAGTATGAAATCACCTTAGTGAAGATCAATCAGCACAGATTTAATAAAGTAATTAATTACATTTGTCTTGTTTCAGATGCAATAAAATAAGCAAATGATATTTACCAGGGTTTGTCTTCTCAAGTTGATACCATCGGTAAAATGCTCTTTTCTTCTGTTCACTCAGGTCTGATCCCTGCTGCAACAGCCAGTGAGAGATCCGGCTCTGACTGATACCTGTGGAGAAAGAGAAACAGCTGTTGCAGGTACTGAAAGTACAGGGAAGCCGAGGGTTCTGTTGGTTCTAGGTTACTGGGTGCTTTATTCTCTGTGTTACTCTATAATGAAGCAACTCGAGCAAACTCTGTAATACTGGACTTCTTTGTAAAGACTGACACTGCACTGTCTAGAATATACTCAGAAATGATCTACTAGAGGTCAAAGCATTTTATTAACCAAGACATGAAAGTGGTCTCTAAAATTAATCCATAAGCTAGGTTCATGTGAAATAAATGAAGAGATTCCTAATTACTATTTATACGTCGGAAGTTGATTAGATTTGTACTCCTACCACCACCACCTGCAGCCCAATCCTGGTTGAAAATATTAGAACTTTTACCAGATACTGAGAAGAAAGGGAAAAAAAAAAATCAAGCCAGCAAGTTTTGCTATTCATTATCAACACTGAGAAAAAAGATTTAGGGCCTGAGAAAGGAGAGGTCATTAAAAACGGCGTCTTCAATAAGGTTTCTGGCTTATTTGTTAATTCATATACGCATTTTCAGACTCGTTACTATTACTGCAGATAACAAAGAATTGGAATTTTAGTGTTATGCTGCAATACGACCTCTTAAGAAATCTCAAGAGATAAAGACATTTTTCTAAGACACAGACTTATAAAAAAACTGAACAGAATATAAAGCAGTAGTTTTCAGCTACCTCTAAGAAGTTTTTGACAGCAATTAATTAGAAATGTGAAAAACCTCCACATGTGAAAGTAAAAAAGCATGACTAAAACTTAACAGTATGAGAATCACATGCTTCTTCTGGTCATTATAGCTATTCCAAAAATGAATAATTGAACATACAACTAGAAAAAGCAAAGAATAATAGGAAAGATAATACTATCTTATGCGCCTATAAGGCACTTTCCAAAAGACTATTCAGCTATCATAGAGGGTTAACAGTATCTAAATTCTCCCAAGGAATTACGTACGGTAACTCGATGGTACTGAATGCCACCTGTGCCAATAACTCTTTAAAGCTATAATGCACAACAGGAAGAGTGGTTATCAGGAAGTAACACATCTCCTATCATGAGAAGGAGCAGGAGGTCTGGTGATCACATTTAAGTCATTAAAAGCAAGCCGCCAGAGTTTCATACTTTAAAAACCTATGTTACAAGAAAATTGGGAGGAAATTGGGGAGAGGAGATTTGTTAAAAGAGAGGTTGGGGTTTGAATCATGTTTCTCTGATTGGAAATACCTTTCATTTTCAAAGGGTGAAAGTCAAACAGTCTTCCAAAACCTAAGTGATCACACTCTCAAGTAGTTCACACAGTAGTCTTCCGGTGGACTGAGGATCTATGTGATGCAGGTGCGGCAGCTAGCACGGTATGCTTGTTCTAAGAGAATGCAAATTATTCTGGATAACTAAATTGGCTGTTTAGCAATGCTATCACCAAAAGTAGTTTCAGACATTATACTACTTTTTACATTACTTTTAAATAGGAGTGAAAAAAAAAACATTCACCACCATAAAATCAAAATTGGTTTTCATGTCATAAAATGAAACTATTTTATATGGATTCTTCATATTGGTACCATACTACTCAGAAACAGAGGAAATTTGAGAAAAATCTGTTAAGGAAAAAAAAAGAATATACAGAGATTCTGAAACTTCCAGGATTGACTCTTCTGCACACAGTCAGGTCACAGAGCCCACTAGATATTGGAGCTGTCCAGGTTCTGGCTGTGCTGTAGGGAAGGAAGAGGGCAAATGCCCATCAAAAGATTAAATTATGGTCTATTCACATAATAAAATACTGGGCTGACTTTTAAAATGTTCTAAAACAGCCATCAAAAACAAACACTAACACAAAACAAACCAAACAAACAAAAAGCCATCAATCCCAGGTGCTGGCAAGGAAGTAGAGTATATGGAACTCTCACACTGCTGACAGAGGGGTAAGATGTCAGGGTCACTTTGAGAAACAACTGGGCAGTATCTACTAAAGGTGAACATATGGATACCGTATGGTCTAGCAATTTCTTTCCTTGATATACAGCAATTTGTACATACTCAATAGAAATGTGGGGCAAAAGGCATGTACACCTTGTACACATACAGGACTACAGAAGCATTACTCATAATAATCCCTAATCTGAAACAACTCAAACACCCATCAGTAGGACAATACATAAAAATCATGATTTATGCATTCTACTAAAGACTACCATACCAAATAGAAAAGGGATAAACCACTGCTACATGGAACCACATAAATAAATCTCACAAAAATAATATAGGCCCCCTCCAAAAAGCCACACACATAAAAAAGCCACACACGACTGTATGACTCAATTTATATACAGTTAAAAAACAGACACAACTTATCTATATGAGTGGTTACCTATGGATAGGAAGAAGGTTCATTAACTGGGAGGCAGTATGAAGAAGGGTTATCAACATCGTTCCTGATTTTTTTTAAAAGATTTTATTTATTTATTTGAGAGAGCAAGAGAGAGAGAGCGCGTGTGCACACACAAGCCCACAAGCAGGGGGAGGAGCAGAGGGAGAGGTAAAAGCAGACTCCCCACTGAACAGGGAGCCCTGAAGGATGCAGGGCTCCATTCCAGGACCCCGGGATCACAACCTGAGCCGAAGGCAGACACCCAACCTACTCAGCCACCCAGGCGCCCTGGCATCATTACTGATCTTGATCTGGATGGTAGTTAAACATGTCTTCATTTTGTAAAAGTCATTAAGCTTGGATACTTTTCTCTGTACATATTTCAATTAAAAAAAAGCTCCCCCCAAAAGTCTTCAAAATTCTATGCAATGTTTAAAAAATAAATTGGTATGTATCAATATGGAAAGGTGCCCATGATATAAATGAAAAAGTATATAGTCTTATAAATATATTTTTACATACTGTACATTCTGTTTTGTAGAGTAAGTAACAAAAGCTTACACATAGCCAAAGATATACAGTAGGAATTTAGAGTGGCAAACTCTTCCTACATTGCATATCTTTATATTATTTTCTCAATCTTCCTACAAATATGTATTAATTCATTTTATTTTTAGCCTTTCCCTATAATCACTACATGCTTTACTGGTTGTCCTAAAAACACTGTAATGAAGTTAAACAAGAGATATGTGCAAAAAGAAGTTAATTTCAGCCTTCTCTTGTCAATTCCCGAGGTAAGCAATGTTAAATGTTAACATATGTTGTTCCACAATTTTCTCCATGCGTAATTATTAATTTAATAAAACAAAAGGAGAGAAAAAAAGAATATCTTCCCTATCTAGTCTTTTGTGTGAGGAGGAAATAAAGAATTTCTTCCCTGTATATTTAGTATCAGTTTTCATATAATAAATAGAGAAAACAAAGTAATAAATAGTTTTTTTCCAGAAGAGGCACTATAAAAACTAAATATGTACAATAATACATTTTGCAATGATTTTTCTTAATTAGCTTGCTGATAAGTAAGTTTCCTCTAACACTCATCCTTCTGTGCCTGGTCCAAGCCTTTGGAACTCTAGTTGATCTAGGCGTCAAAAGGCCCTGCTGCGGGTGCCTGGGTGGCTCAGTCATTAGGCGTCTGCCTTTGGCTCAGGTCATGATCCCAGGGTCCTGGGATCGAGCCCCGCATTGGGCTCCCTGCTCAGTAGGTAGCCTGCTTCTCCCTCTCCCTCTGCCGCTCCCCCTGCTTGTGTTCCATTTTTCACTGTGTCTCTCTGTCAAATAAATTTAAAAAATCTTTAAAAAAAAAAAAAAAGGCCCTGCTGCTTTTCTTTACTGTCTGCTTCGGCACTTCTCCTTGGGAGAAAAATTCCCTAACTCCCCTCCCACTGCTGAAAGAAAAAGTCATTCTCCCCATTTTTTAGCTCCTCAAAACCTCTTTTCCACCTTCACAGGGCAGAAGAAAAGAAAAAGTCACATATAACTTTCATAACTCTCTTACAGTGAGATACTAAAACTAACCCCCCCATTAATTTCTTTCCACTAAGAAACTGGTCACATTGTATTTAAAGGATGAAAAATGCCAGTCTCATTCATATTCTTTTCTGAGCTTCAGCTTCATCATGCTCCTTCCAGTTCCTCAAATGCCATGCTCCCTTCCACTAGAGGGCTCTCTACTACAACCCATTCTGGTCAAAATCCCTAATACTACAAATTTGAATGTTTTCTCTTCCTTCCACTTCCTGTGCAATATGACACTACTGACCAATCACATCATCTTCATCCTTGAAATGTTAGATACACCTATCCAATGCAACTTTTTGGTCAGCTTCAGGGACTGCTTTGCTAGCTCCTTACAAGTTAGTGTCCCCAGGGTTCTATCTCTAAGAATCTTCTTTCATTCTGTATACACTCTTCCTTTGGTCATCACAATTATCAACAATCATGATTTTAAAATTCTAAATGCCAATGACTTCCAGAGCACCAGACTGTTCTTTCAAACCATCTGCTAGATAGCTTCATGAGATTTTCCCACAGGTCTTCAATACTGTTAACTTAATTCATATCTTCTTTTAAATCTGCTCATCTTCCTGGGGCGCCTGGGTGGCTCAGTTGTTAAGCATCTGCCTTCGGCTCAGGTCATGATCCCAGGGTCCTGGGATCGAGCCCCAAATCGGGCTCCCTGCTCAGCGGGGAGCCTGCTTCTCCCTCTCCCCTCCCCCTGCTTGTGTTCCCTCTCTGTCAAATAAATTAATTAATTAATTAATTAATTTTAAAAAATCTGCTCTTCTTCCTGTGTCCCCCATCTCAATTCTACCTTCCACTCTACTCTTTCTTCCAATTCTCACATGATTACCGTATCTAATAACTTCTTTAAAATTCTCTTTATGTTCTCTTCAATCTGCATTCCTGCAGTTCAGAATCTCAGCCTCATTTGCCTGGACACTGAAATAACTTTGATATGAGAACAAGCCATCTAAGATCCACAAAAACAAAATCCTCATGATCAGATCCTTAATTACAAGGTCACTTCACAGTTGAAAAAGT